TTATTATTATTATTATCGGCCCTTATTGTTTGTTTCGATAAGTGTTTTACGGTGCTAGCAACTGCACAAGGTAATATGAGCGTGCGGGACACATTAGTTAAGCGTTTTGAGTTGGATAAGAACTAATTTTGGACTTTGCCTGGATGGCGGCCGAACCCTATTCTTATCGATTTATTTAGGACCACAAAGGGATCGGTGACTTGTGCAACTTGCATACAGAACCTCTGAGATTTGTTAGCCCTTGTCCGAGACGGCTTGGTGTTTGATCTTATCGGCACTTAGTAGGACATAATAGATTATGCATTTATGAGGCATTGGTGGAAGCTGTTTTTAGTGGCTGATGAATTGGTTGTAAGAGGGCAAATACTGGCCTATACATCGACGAACCACAGCTAAAATGAAATTTTCCACTTAAAAGTCATCCTCCCCTCCCCCGCCAAAACAACAACAAACAAACAAATAAATAAACAAACAACTAAACAAACAAACAAAGACCCCCCCCCCACTAAAAACCCAACCTTTTTTCTTTACGTAATACCCTGACTCTCCAATGTGCACATTGCTCATTCCAGTTCTTCTAGGTCCAGCCCTCTATTTATGAACAGCCCTTTTGCTACGGTTTGTTTTATCATGATCCTTGCGATGTGCTTTGGAGAGACAAAATCAAATATCTATTAAACAATAATATTTTCATATCTCCAAACTTTGTAAAAAATGTACATGTTCTTATCAAGATTTCTAGTCATTAATATACATATATTTTTTTAAGTTCTTTACAAAGCCATAAGATGGCGAAATGTTGAACGTATAGAAGTTTGGAAAATCATAAAAGTATCCACCTTCTTTTTGTCTTTTTGCAGTCTACAATGGTGATGATGATGATGATGATGATGATGATGATGATGATGATGATGATGATGATGATGATGATGATGATGATGATGATGACAAACCACAGGACAAACGCAGAGATAATTTGATTCACTTTGATTATAAAAATAATTATGAAAACAGGTTGTAGGATGAATGCCTTAACTGTCCAACCTCGATTTCCAGATGGCGAGTGTGTGCTGGGTGTACTATATATCCAAGTATATCGAGACAGCAGACACAGTGAGTAGGCAAGCCACGTCTGTGGTGAGGTAGTTAGATACGACACCCATGGTGTTACATAGAGAAAAAAAGTACCATGCAGAGTCTATGGTGTTAAAGTTAGGCTCTTTGCCGTGCACTCAGTTGGGCATGAGTTCGATTTTCAAGATGAGAAATTAATATTTTCTTCATAGTTCATGAAAGTTCACATTGTCTTCATAGTTCATGAAAGTTCATAATATTCTCTTCATCGTTCTTGAAAGTTGTCTTGTCTTCATAGTTCACGAAAGTTCATATTGTCTTACTAGTTCATAGTTCACATCGTCTTCATAGTTCATGAAAGTTCATAATATTATCTTCATCGTTCTTGAAAGTTCATAATATTGTCTTCATAGTTCACGAAAGTTCATATTGTCTTCATAGTTCATAGCTCACATTGTCTTCACAGTTCATGACAGCTCATAATATTAATTTCTTTATATTTCATAGTTCATAGAAGTTCTTGAATAAAACTGAAACCTCCTTTTAAACAAAGACAACGCCTGTACAGTGGCGCAGTGAGAGTGGTTATACCCTTCACGTACAAGAACTTGAGTGGACTCGACATCTAGATTAACCCGGGATGGCTCCGACATAATATGTATATAAA